GGGTTAAGGGAGCGCCTTCTGCCTCCTACACCTACCACAGTGAGTCTGCCTGGTGCACTGATAGGAGAAAGACTTAAGGATGTGCTTAGAATTTTTTCTGAGCACTATAGAGCTCACGGTATTTATAATTATTATTTTATTTGTTCTCACTCCCCCCCCCCGCATTTTACAAGGAACTACAAACTCGTTCTGTTTTACTACAAGAAGACTGAGATCTGATGATGTCTTCCGGTTTGCCTATGGCCATTCATTTCCACTACTGGACATGGCAGCTGGAATGTTTCTTCTGAATTCAGAGTACTTTCTGCTCTGTGAGGGTTATGCCTTTATGAGGTAGGGTTGGAACTGTTGGAGACATTCACATCATTAACCCTTCCAGCAATTGTGGAAGCACAATGCACACATATTTCTGTACATCTTCCTCCAAATGGACTCTGGAAACTCTTAAATTTGACACCATAGTCTCACATCTGCCCTTTTTTGTGGTCCCACACAAGCCTCAATGCCTGAGGCTATTTTCTTTGCTCCAGAAGCCTCTACAAGGGCCAAGAAACATCTTTAAAGATGTCAACACTTCCCAAATACTCCAGCACCAAAATGTTTCCATCTTCTCTACCCACCTGCCATCAACAGCTTTTCAACTGTCTCTTTGAAGAGTGTGAAAACTAAGTCCTAGTAGAACACTCATTGGTGAGTTGTGATGACTCTACTTAGGGATTTTTGCAGCTTTAAATAGGACATTGGTGGGGAGGGGTATAACCTAGAGAAATCACTCAAGTGCTAGAATTTCATGCTCTAAAACAGCTGGGTGATGTATATTTGGACATGAAATCCTGCTTTCTTCCTCTAAACAAAACAAAACAGGCACAAGGCTCAAAGACCAGTGCAGATCTTAAAGGCAGGATAAAGATCAGATCATCAAACACATTTTACCTCCTTAAACGAATTTCCTCTTTAGAAAACATGTGCTTTTAGGTGTTTACCATCAGTGTGTTTATGTCCAACTAAGAATTCTCAGTATTATAGACTATATGGCAGGGACCTCTCAGAGATACCGAAGGCAGCCTTGAATAAAAGTGCCAGGGCTCAGAAGCATTCAGGAGCTGGATTAGTCTGCCACAGAAAGGTCTGGAAAAGCCAAGTTTCACACAATTAATGGAACAATACAACAATCTGTCTTCAGCTGGCCAAGGCAGTTAGTTCTGTCATTTATCCCTCAGCTGCAGAACAACCTCGCACTCTGTGATTTTGTGTCACTGCTCTATGGTGATTGCATTTCAGTGAAATCTATATTTCCCCACAAGTGAATCTGCAGGCTTTCTGTCTTTCTTTCTTTTTAAATTTTTACTTCTTGGAATTCAGCCTCCCTCGTTTACTTTCTGGCAAGGCGATTTTTAATCTGAATTCTTTTATATTGATTCTTTTTTGCACATTATTTTAAAAAAAATCATGAAGGTACAAAAAGACAGAAATAAACATACTGTAGGGAAGAAGAGGAGCCAGTGCATTGTAACTGAAATGCTGCTAAAGATACCATATCACTCAGACTTTTAAAATTCTAATTATATTGCTTTAACTCATTCAATCAAAGTAGCTCTACATTTCTTTCCAGGGATAGTTGAGTGAACAATAGAACCATTTCCTTGAAAATGACTAAACATCAGTGAAGCTCAGGCATTAGGGAGAGGGCCTCGCCAGGCTATTTTGACAGATTCATCCTAGAGTGTGTTGAAGGTGCTACCATTTCTTCAGTATGTGAATCCCCACCCTTGAGAGTGCTCGTTATATATATTTCACTTCCTAGGTACTTGGCAATCTCCTAACCCTTAACACTGTCTAATTTAAACCCTGCAATCAATCTTCATCCCTCCTTTTAAGAGTAGTATTATTATCTCCACTTTAAAAACAGATAAACTGAGGTTAGAGAGGTCCAATGACTTTCCTAAGGTTATTTTAGTAGGATATGTCATAGGAGTCACAGAGCTTGGTTTTGAATTTTGGCTGAGTGACTTTGGCAAGTTTCTTAATCTTTTGGTTTAGAAATAGGGTTGCAAGAGTTAAGTAAGTTACTACTGTGATTGAAAGTAATTACTTTTTGTAAAGTAGTAAGGACAATGACTGGAACATGGCATAAACTGGACTCATGTCCTTTAAATACAAAAACATGGATCCCCCAGGTAGAAAAGGGCTGAATCAAAATATAACCAGAGGTGCTGTTCTCCAAAGCCATGCCCCCACCCTTTCTTGAAAGCACTGAGCTGTAGAGAGAAGGTTACAGAGGCCGAAAGTCAAGGCGGGAGGTAGGACAGCCACAAATGGATTCCTTCATAGCTTTAAAACTAATCCAGTCTTTATAGCCTATATACAACTTTCTTTTGGGTTTTCAAAAGCTTGGTTTTACTGCTGTGATCAGGCAGCCCTGCCAAATCTGCTCTACCAGAAGCATAAGCACGTGAACATGATTATAATCATTGGCACACGTGGGTTTGGCATGATCTTTCTGTTTTCACACAAACTGAAAGCCTGTGGCTGGCTTGGGGTAGCGCTGTCCATGTGGGTCTCTGGTAAGGCAGCATAAACTCATTTCCACTTCGGATGCTACCTGGATTCAGCTCCTAAAGGTGGAAAACCACAGCTTGAGGTTGTTATCCAACCCGCGAAGTCTTATTTCATATTGACAGTGTTAAACCATACTAGCCCCCAGGACACTAAGTATACATCTTCAGCTGTAACAGATTTACTGGTGTTTATTTCAGAAGCTTTTTCTTTGCGTACAAATAGCCATGGCTGGATGCTGCTCCAGCAAATGTAACAAAGGGAAGTACGTAGCTGAGCTCTGAGAGGCAGAATCTCTATTCTAGCTTTGTCAGTTTGCTCCTGGCTCTTGGGCTAGTCAGTTGTACCCAACGCAGACTGTTCTTTCTTAAGTTGGTAGGGGTGAATTCTAGCTTTTCCTCTGTCTCACTGACATGGTAGACAAGGTATGGCATTAAAAGGTGAAGGGAAGTAAGAGTACTCTCCAACACTTTCTTCTTTAGGTCACTAACACGCAAAGTGGTGGATTTATGTAGCTTCCTCCAACGGCAGGCCGCAGTGTCCATAAAGATCTACCCATACCACAGATAGAAAGTAGAAGTGGTTCGAAGCGACATCCTTTTTTGCACTCATATTCCAAAAGTATGAAATCGGTTCCAATCACACCGTGTGGTTGTGGTTTCCTAAGAGAGGACCAAAGCCTGCTCTGACACAGCTTTAGAGAGAATTGTTGGGAACACTGTGTCACAAGTGAAATCTACACACAGAAACCTATGCTGCCAGAAAAAGGCGGAGGCTTTGGAAAAGCAAAGCCCATCTTCATTTAGTGTTTTTTTTGTAGTCTTTGCTGGCTACTGTTGTGTTCAGTGTTTTCTACTTTGCTTGTTCTTTCCATCTGTCAATCATTTCTCCTTCCTTGTTTTTCTTTAATTTAACCGAATTCATAGTTATGAGCTACAGTATTCATTCTCACTGAGAGTACTATTGCACTGGAGGCCAAACATTGTTTATCACCTGGGTGAAAAAATATCTAATACAGCTCTGATATACTTGTAGCACATAAACAGATATGCTACCTATACAGAGTCAACATATCAATGAAAGGAAATGGTTAGGACAAAATTCTAAACAGTATTTTTCTGAAGGAGGGCAATTGTGAAATACAAAAAGGCTGCAAAAGAATGAGCTAGTCACCAATAGCCATGAGAAAGGGACAACTACCAAAAAGGCATCACATCATTCAAGGCTTTGAGAGGGTCGAAGGAGGTACACAGGCACTTTGATAATGAAAACTAGGCTGCAGAGATTATTCAGACAGCTACAGTTTCATTCAGAAGACTGGCTCTTATCAGCTCCTCCTCAAGCATCGCTTTCCAGAAGTGTCTTTATTTGGAGACTTCATTATGTATTTCAAATTGGGTATGGAATTAATTGACAGGTTCCTGGCCCTGCCTCTGCCATTTGCTGGCTTAGATAAATCACTGCCTTTCGGGACCTCCTTTCTCTTGTCTACCAACTTAGAAGGTAATCCCTGGGCAGCCTGTTTCAAAAGTACATGGCCAAGATCAAATGAAATACGAGTGATGGAATCCCCAAAGCTCTGAGGTCCTATGTCAAAATTTAGGATGGTAGAAACTCTTAGGACAGTGAGGACATGAGCTACGTGGTTGGCCACACACACAGTGTGATTTCTGATGGCCACCAGCATCACCTCTCCTTTAATTCCTGCTATGAGTCGTTGCTCTGAATTAAGTGCTCATGACAGCAGCACTGGGCACATATGTAATATGGAGGCCACAAGACTGAACAGAGAGGGCTGCTGGCTTCTTGGAGAACAGCCTTAGTTTCATTTGACCTGCTGATACAGTCTCGTCTAGGTGGGACACAGGCAGGTCATTATGTCAGTTCTGTGAACCTCACGTTCCACACCTCTACAATGATCACACCCATGGCTGCCTTGCAGGCTTGGATGAAGATGATGAGAGATGACATTCATCAAGTCTGTGGAAATGATGGTCAGTAACAAATTCTCAAGCAGCACTAGTCCCCGTCCCACTGCTTCACTCACATAGTAACATGCTGTGTTTATAACAACAGAGTGGTAGGAAATTGAATGGTCAGGAAATTGAATTGGTTTCTAGGAGCAGAAACTAAGAAGAGGCTGTACTAAATCAGCTATATAAACGTTATCTTTGCAGATGAAAGAATTGGTGTGGCAATTAGCAGAGGAAGTCATAGCGCAGAATAATTAATATAGTTAATGGAAGGAAGAACAGATTACCCTTTCTCCCCCATCACTGGGGTCAGCTAGAATACTTACTTAAGAAGAAAGTGACAAAAATCCACACACACAGGACCTACCATAACAGATACTCTAGGATATGCTGCAAGTGACTGTCTTATTATGATTATTAATATTATTATTATTACTATAATTATTAATCTAATGGTTCTTCTGTCAACAGATCCCATACCCAGTCTGCTTTCTCTGAGCGTACCTCTCCCCAGCAGCGTATAACTTTTTGATGTTCTGAGAGATTAAACGAGACTTCTGGAACAAAATTCTTACTTGATTGAGTGAACATCACTTATTCCATCCTCACCATCAAAAGGGCACGCACTGCTCTTTGAGCCTTCAATTGCTGGCTCCAGCTATGTTTTATATCTGTCTCTGTGAGATAGCGTTCTTGGACCTAACAGACAAGCAGCCCTCAGTTTCAAAAATATTCAGCTACATATCCAGGACCAAGCAGCTTGCTGGGTTCCCCTGTTTATCCTGGGCCACCAAACCCAAAGAAATGGGATGAAGGCTGATGTGATTGAAGACAGAATCCGTTTTTGTTTTTATGTTCTACCAAGCCCAGCTTCTGATAAAAAAAAAAAAAAAAAAAAAAAAAAAAAAAGGGAGAAGAAGAAGAAGAATCCTGCTTCAAGCTCCCTTCAAGCTCCCTGCCAGGCTCCCTTCCTCCCTTTCTTGTCGAAGCACTCCACCATCTGTGCAGACTGCATAACAGCAATTTCTGGAAACAGGCTGAAGAATTTGGGCCAGTCCAGAGGCAGTGGATTTCTGCTGTCTGGGAGGTGCAGTTCTAGAGATTTTATTTTTCACCTTAATTCTTTTAACTACTGCCAGTTCTTTGAAGCACATCTGTTACCAACAGCTTCTGTTTGTAAAGCAGAACTGAAGGTACCCTCTCCAGAGAAATTCTTGAATCTTCTCTGTAGTTCAGTGCTTGCGTTAACAGCTTGGCTCACAAAGTATGACTGCGGTAAATATTAAAGAATGTTAATAAAAATGAGATAAAACACCTAGGGATCCCCCTCCCTATCGCCCCCGCTGAATTCTGCTTTGCTCACGACTAAAGTTTATCTTGACAGAAAATTTACTTCTGTGATCCACATCATTTCCCAAAGCAATTTTCTAACAGCAAACATAAATTTGTGGTGATAGCTAAGAGGTTTTCAAGCCCTGTGCTAAGAGGGTCAGGAGGTTTCAAGTGTTTTGTCTCACCTTCAGGTAAATGTCCCTTTCTTGGGACACAGTCACAGGAAACAGCAAGTGACAACGAAAGGGGAAGCCTGGAAATGAGGTTTTGTACTTCCATCACCAAGCTAGTTTGCAGGAGGAGATGCTTTGGGCACGGAGAGCAAATCTTACGATGATAATTAAGTCATTAACTAAGAAAATAATTGCCTAAGCCCACACATTTGTGCTCTCAAATGGGATGAAGCGCTGAGTAAATGTAATAGCTTTACACTGCACCGAACTTTGAGCTGGGTAAAACATTGCATTTATCCCATAGCAGAGGTGCAAGTTATGCACACATCATCAGGGAAAATCCATGCTCTTTCTGGGTTTGTATTTGCTTGGTCCTTAACCATTAGGGCTTTACAAAATGAAAAATAGCTAGGCTTTGGAATGTCATAGGCCCAGATCTGAATCCTAGCTCCATGGTAGCTGTATGACATGGGGCAAACAACTCAGCCTCTATTAGTCTTAAAGTGGTTCAATTTTCCTGCTTTGGCTAGATGTAGCGGCACATGCCTGTAATTCTGAATGCTTGGGAGGCTGAGGTAGGAGGATCACAAGTTTGAAGCTTGCCTGGGCAACTTAGTAAGATCTTGTTTAAAAAAAATTAAGGAGCTAAAGATGTAGCTCAGTGTTCTCTGGGTTCAATTACCTGTAAAATACACATACGATACACACATGCACACATACAATATTTAACCTGAAGTTATTGGGGAAGATTAACATTAATATATTTAAGATATTTTATGCATACATGGGACAGAGTATTCAATAAGTATCATTATTATCACGAGTATCAAAATTATCCTCCTCCTCTTGCTCTTCCTCCTAACATTTGGCACCAAATGTAAATTATTACCAGTGAAATACATTTTGACTTCCACAATGAAACTCCTTTACAATGCTGTTTGAAATTGAGTATAATTTAGTCTATGGGCATCACTAGATGAAAACATATGCAATAATATAGCTGTTACCATTTATAAGTGTAAATTTGGTAAAATCATAAGAAGCTATTTTTTGCTTTGTTTTTTTCCTATAGCCAAACCAACCCGCAGGTGTCAAAGTTACTGCTATCACATTTGCTATGTACAGCCTCCTCTTCTTTCCCCTTTATTTGTTCAAATTTTCATGATGATACAACATCCAGCTAAATTCTAAAGAAACGTAAGAAAGTTTTCTCAAAGTGTTCAGCTATGATTCTCTTTCTCTCTCACCCACCTAAGGAAGTTAGAACAGTCATTTTCCTTAGCACTGATGTGTATCTGTCTGAACTGTCCCAGGAAATTTCTTGTTCATTGCCTATACAATTAATTTAATTAAGCCATATATATATATATATATATATATATATATATAATTTAATTAAGCCATATATATATATCGCTTAATTAAATTAATAATATATATTATATAAAATATATAATGTAAACATATAATATATACATCTCTTAATTAAATTAATATATTAATTATATTAGATATCACTTAATTAAATTATATATATATGTATATATGACAGCATGCACTGTTCATGGTCAGCAGACAACTCATGTGCATCACTTTAATTTGTTTAGTTTCTAGGCATCAGAGAAGCAAAAAAGAGCATCACAGGGCCCTACTCTCAGAGGGTTTCTGCACTGATACCATGAGTACAATGTTTGTGCATGTGATAGCAATGAAGGGCAGGAAAGGATGCATACTATACACTATGTAAGTGAAGTGTTTTGAGGTAACATCTAAAGGAGAAAGGATGAGGAGGGAGGTTGAGGAGGATTTCAAAAAGAATACAGACTATGCTTTGGGTCTGGATGAATGGGATTTGGCAGGTAAAATGAGAAAAGAAAAACATTTCCCAAGAGAATGTTCCACCAAGTGCAACAGCAGGCCACAGACAGGTGGAGGGAAGCAGCAGCCAAGCACACTGGCGAGGCGCTCAACAGCATGTGCTGATTTCATATTTCACAAGTAGACACTTAATCAGTAGGACAATCTTGAATCTAATTTTGTTCTATTTCAGCAGGAATGTATCCTAGCTACAATAGGATGAATTAGTGAGAAAACAACTCATGACTGTTACACCATTTCCCTACACACACTGTTAAAAGGTGAACAGAGTTCCAAGCAATGTATTTGAAGGCCCTCAGGCAAAGGAGAATCACCTCATTCAGAAAGAAGTAGAACAGAAGGAACTACCTGATGGGGGTTGCTGAAGCATCCTGAGCACGAAAGGTTTAAAGAATGATGCAGCTGTAGCTAGCAGAGATGTAGGAGGAGGCAGAGCTCCAGCAGGGAAGGCTTCTGAGGGGCTACGAAGGAGGCAAAGTCTTAGGAATCAGCATTTCGTTCTCAGAAAAAAAAAATATTCTAAGGCTCAAACAAGACATGAAGCAGTCATTCTGCCCGCCTCTGGGCAAGGAGTGCAGATCTAGACTATAGGCAGGGTAGGGAGGCCAGGGGGACCAGAATCTACAGTGCTCCTCACTGTAACTTCCTTGAAGATTATAACACCATTCCTGAGCATTCTGGGAGAATACTGGGCAAACAGAACCATCTCAAAGTTGAGAATGATTGGAATAATAAGAGAATCTTTATAGTGATTGATAATTATGAAAGAAAAAAAAGCAAGTGAAATATTTTTGTTCTTACCGTAAGACAGATTTTATGCCCATTTCATTGATTATAATCACATGCACCACACTAATACAACACCATAGAAACAGCAGTAGTTAAAATATTACTGATATCCTCTATAAGATCATGTCTGAAGACACATCTGTTAATTCCACATTAGACTTTGAATTTTTGACAAACATCCCAGGGGCCCCTAATTTGCATTCACACCAAGAGTTTTACTCTTCTAAATTTTATCAATGTTCACAAGCCTTATGTGTGCCCATTAAGACCAAATAGAGGACAAATGAGGACTAATGACTGGGTTCCCCCAGACTATGCTTTTATTACAAAAGGCAGAAACAAAGATGTCCTTCAAGTTCTCCAAGAATGCACTGGAAGAAAAGATAAATCACTATGAGGCAAACATTGCAAGATATCTGGTCTTTATATTGATGTGTAGGCTGAGAGACAGACATCATTGGGATCGACACTTTTCAGTAAGATCCCGGTTCCTACTCTCAGTGTCCTTAGACCCACACTGGGAAAGAAACTGGTAGAAAGAGAGATAGAGTAGGGTGAATGCGATTGGCAATTGACTCAGCAGCCATTCCTTAGCTCTTTGCCCATTGTGACATTATCATTAAGGGCTAAAATATCAGACTGGCTGTGTCACCTTTACTGAAGCTGGACAATGACTGACCAGTAGAAAAATATCCATAAGGGAACTTCTCATTAATGTTTCATTCTCAGATAAAAATAGCTACCAAAATTCTACACTGAGTAGGGTAGAGACAATGCATGTTAGAAAGTTAAAATCACTAGACCATTATCTTAGAAGACAGGGAAATCATCACTCAGTGAATTCTTACCTGCCTGTGACAAAATTTTAAGGGATTCTCAATGGAAAAGAAAGGTTTTTGAAGTTCAGAGTCGATGAGGAGTGGCAGTATTGATGGTTTCCCAGCAAAGCAAAGGGCGAGCAATGACAATAAATGTCACTGAAGAGGACACGGAAAGCAACGAAGAGGGACCTGGTTAGGGCGTGAGGCAGCAAGGAGGGAGGAAGGACCACTGCTTCTCTTTTGCTCAGGCTCAGCCACGGGAAAGGTAGATTGGGAACAACTACATTGTATGGGACTCAGGCCTCAAAACTCTTTCCAATATCTTTGCAAATTTTAGCCTTATACCTTGACTTCCCACCTTGGGATTTAGTGACCTGGGAAGTTGTAATTACTTCTACTTTTGAAGCAGAGTTAGAACTATCAGTAATGTGCAATCTAGACTCAGGTCTTTTAAAGTTCCAGTTATTTGGTTTGCATTTTCTTGAATTTAGCTTGTATTTCCATTTGATTGATAATTCACTATAAAAAATGGAATCATGTATTAAGATATGAAAATATTCCATAAGAACTTGGAGAGTCCCGATGAATTTACAATGCCCCTTGCTGCAACTTCCCTGAAGCAGAAAGGCAGGATTCTTTCCACTTACATTGCCTTGAATGAGATTATTTCACTCACAATACTTTTTCCATGTTCAGGGAAATAGAGATAAGGCAAATTCAAACACCTGACATGATGCCTAGAATCAACCATTCTGGGTTTATCAGTATAAAACTCCTTTGCATCTCTTTCTTTCTTCCCTGCCCCTCTCCTTTCTTTCTTATCTCTTTTTTTTTTCTTATCTTTCACTATGTCTTGGTTATGGTTTGTCTCCCAAAATTTATGCAGGAGTTTAATACATAATGACATTAAGGGATTAGAAACTCGATCCTGATTATTATGCTTTGAAATAGAGGCTTTTAAAAGTGATTCAATTAGACTCAAGTCATAACATGATTGAATTTTGGCAGTTTTTTAAGGAAAAGGACCACACAGAGAGCTACACATGTGGTCTTACCATGACATAAGGTAGCCAAGGGATGAGGGGTAACATCTGGGCCAGACCACTGAATAACCAGCCTCCTAAATTATGAACCATAATCTGTTATCTCAATAAAGTAGCCTGTCTTGATAAGGTAGCCATAAAAAACTAAATAATGTATGTTTCCCCACCCTCTCCTCTCTTCTACCCTCCTTTCATTATGTGCTTAGTAGAGTCAGTGGCTGGAGAAGCCTCCTTCACCTTGCCTGGAAAGCCATTCCTTCTGCTCTAAGAGGGCTCAGGG